ATATATATACTGTATATATAGGAAAATTTTTGCATTTAATGAAAAATATACAGTACATTCCCCTCCAAAAAACGTTTGAGTCAAATTCTTTTGTTTTTGCTGTTCACTGAAGACATGTGGGTTTAAAATCAAAAGATGAGCAATGAGACAAGAGTTCAGAATGTCAGCTTTTATTTCCTGGTATTTACATGTAGTTGTGTTAAACAACTTAGTATTTATCACCGTTTGTAATACACCACCCATGCCATTTTCAAATAAGTTGCTGGCATCAGGTTCAAATGAGCGTGTAGTCATTAAAAATAGTTTTTATACTCTTCTTAAACTTTTCTGAAAGCATTTTATAAACAGGGTTAGATTTTAGACAGACGTTTTGCTGTCTTACCCTCTGCTCATCTTCTTTTCAAGTCAAACTGTCATAAAAATGTCTAATATCCTGAAAAAGAGGCAAATTTTTTACATCCTGTCATGTTTCAGATCTTTGCCTTCCTCATCTGTATGGGAGTTGTTTTGGCCATTGGAAACACGATTTGGGAGACTTGCATCGGCACAAAGTTCGAGGTGTTTTTGCCGCGGGTCGAGTTTCAGAGCAGCTCTGTTTTCTCTGGTTTTCTCACCTTTTGGTCCTACATCATCATCCTCAACACAGTTGTGCCGATCTCACTCTACGTCAGGTAAAAAAAAAAAAGACAAACTAATTTACTGACCAGCTCTTGCAGATTTGTGCTGAGTAATGAAATCTACTCTCAGCGTGGAGGTTCTTCGGCTCGGCCACAGCTTCTTCATTAACTGGGACCAGAAGATGTACTGTGGTCAGACAGACACCTCAGCCGAAGCTCGAACCACCACCCTGAACGAGGAGCTCGGGCAGGTCGAGTTCATCTTCTCCGACAAGACCGGCACCCTGACGCAGAACATCATGGTGTTCAGCAAGTGCTCCATTAACGGACAGACGTACGGTACGACTTGTAAACACGCACTTATTTAAACAAGCGGACAGGCCACCGCCTAGACGTCAAACACATTAGAAGCTGGGTATTTGAAGTATATGACAAACTTTCTCTGTACATCTATAGTCATGAGAAGTGTGTGTGTGTGTAGGGGGGGG